TGTGCATCCGCGTACATGTAACATATTTGTATGTGACTTAATGGAATCACTAAACTCAACAGGGGATGTGTACATGTTGCTTGTCACGTGCTGTTGAAGATGAGTAATATAATTGACTAAAATGTTCAAAAAATTATTTGGAAAGGAACTGTTTAATATTTATTAATTGCATCCACACAATCAGTTTGTAAATTGCTGGAGTGCTGCCTACAAAGATTGTTAAAACTCCTATATGTGCAAACTGTATTCAGCATAAGCTTTTTACAATAATTTGTGGCATAATCAAGTACTATACCATTGAGTCACGTCTGTGGTAGATTTCATATACGAGAATTAATATGCAATCAGTGGAATCCATTTGTGGCTTTCAAAATTGTAACTGATGCAGATCAAAAATCCAATTGTCTCAGAAAATTCATTCACCCTGAATTACTCATATCACAAAGGATTTTGTGTAAGAGACTGACACGCCTGCCAATGAGTTTGTGCTTGTATGACGTATGTTTTGCTAGATGTGACTGCCCAATCACGAACGGTACTATATTCGAGGTCAGTGCATCACACTCATACTAAATTCTCATGTTAGGCTTCATGTAAATTTGAACGTGTTGACAGCCTTGCCACTCAACTTCTGTTCATAAATTTTGAAATGGAAAATGAATACATGATCTGCAAATCATGTACCTGCTGAGAGAAATTTGATGAAATTAGCAGTCTCTGTCAAACTATTTAGGTAGTTTTGTGCGATCCAAATTTGGCAGAATGGCCCAGACATCTTATTATTTTGGAACTTTTGTTGTTAGCATGGGGGCCAAATGGGTGCGCACACGCAGCATGGAAATTTTGACCCGTCATGGAACACGTGACAGAATTAATTACAGGTTTGTAGTTAGATTGCACATTAAAAATGAGTCCCGATCCTCATCAGAGCCCAAATGATCATTCATTAGTACACATTTCAAATTAAGAGATCAGACAAATTATTTCGATTCAACAACTTATCAGTTGAAGAGTTTATCTTTTAGAGTAACACTTTTGAAACCACATGTTCTGAGTGACTTATCATGGAGACACTTTGAATTGCAGCTCCTGTGGTTTTCTATAAGCCATTTAAGCATCTAAGTGCAAGTTGGAATTCTGACGGAAATTCCTTTTCAAGATATTTCAGTGAACAGATGGTTATGCAGAGCCTGAAATTACGGTCGGACATTTGCCGGGCACTTATTGTGTTTTTCTGAACAAAATCAAAGATGCTCAGACTAATGGTCCGACCAACATATCAATAATAGCTCTTAAAATGTCAACACAATATATGGGATTATGGCATCCAATTTATTATTAGTTTTGTGTTAGAATTACGTTAATTATGCCCAAGGTATTCATCAGGGCTGATTGCTCATCACCAGCCCATGTCACCTACACATAGCGCCACACATGTCTATTTTACTTTTACAGACATGAAATCGCCCATAATACTTGGCACTGTCACAGTGGGGAAAACACATGCACGAAACTTGATGCATTAAACGAAGCTGCTCTGGTTCCCAAATGTAAAAGGCTGCAGGCCGGAAAGACATCGATGTTATGTTGCAAGAGGTTTTCTGCAAGTTAATTGACAGAACTTGGTCTCTTATTTATGTTAGTATTTTCTGTGATCATGAGTGTAATTTGAGGTTGTTCTGCTCATGGCACAAGGTTTAGCACCCGCTGGTCTGGATGTATCACGCATGCTTACCACGCGACCCCGACACATGGACATTGTTGGCCAGTTTACCGTCATGATTGTGTAAATTGTCCATAAATTTCTTGTGAATTGCCGTTTGGAGAAATTTTTACATAGACATTAAAACAGGTGGTAATCAATTTCTGAGATACTTTCGTAGGCTTTCGCCACCACTGATGCCATTCAATCAGCACAAAATTGCCCTAAAAAAAGTTCCGACCTATCGACCCAGTTTTTGAGAGGTGCGCATGCACAGCACAACTACACCATTTTTTTGGCCTAATAAAGACTGCATGTATGCAGTAGGCCTTAGTTAAATAACAATAATCATGGATTCTGAGAAATCTTTGGCAAGTGTTGATCCAATCATGGAGCTATTAAACACATGGAGTCAGCACATACAGAGATCAAAAGGGTCAATGATGGCCACCGCCAGGCTATAAGGTACCTCGCATGCGTGTCCGTAACACTTCCACATGTTCAACATGGCCGCCTTGAGACGGAATATTCCAATGACAATGAAAGTTTGGTTACCTCTTTACATCCCCAAAAATGTCTCTCTAAACAATAAACAGAATTACTAATACAAAAACTCCCCAAGAAAACTGAGAGAATGTAGCTGGTCCAGCGAAAAATAAAAGCACAAAAACATGGGAAGATTTGTTTCCACCTTCTCTTAACCGATGGAACCACTAGGATTGCGACTTAAGATATAAATATTGCAGTTCATATTTAGGGTATTTGTTCTCTACCGCCGGAAACGCAAAATGTCATAACTGACTTCAAAAATGTCTGACTTTTGCCAAATAACCACCGCTGATTTAGAATTTTCAAGCACATCTGTGAAGATCACTCGCTGACTCCTGACGGCTACTGAAGAGAACTGCGCATCTTCTTTGTGCATCTTTTCCACCATTTATTTACTCCAGTATGCCGCAGCGAAAAACGGTATGTGGGTTACCAGCTACCTGGTGGTGGGGATCACTGTGTACAAAGAACATTTACGGTCTTCAACACTCGGGCTGGTAACCGCGCCTTGTCCGTGGAGCCGACCGAAGCAGTTAATCGGATTACAGTCTGTAGGACTTCGTGCCAACCCCTTGTGTTTGATAGCTCCATGATCCAATTCGAGCAAGCAAATTTATGACATGGCCTGCGCCCGAACAAGGATTGCTCTATGCAGCTGCTGTGTGGTTCTGGTAGGACCAGAGGAAGAAAAGTGAATTTCGACCCCAAACACAGCACGTTACAACTCAACCTTGTATATATATGTAATATGGCTGATCAAAAGCTGGTAATGGCAGAGCAAAATTGATTGTATTACAACATTTTGTCCAAGCACTTTTTTGGTCTAATTTCGCACTCTGTTATGTATCATGAAAAATGAGGCAAGACTTTGAAGCTTTGCATGGTGGAGATAGACTAAGGAGAGGACTTGCGGTAACACCATGGGGATAAATCTCTTATTGGGAGAGGTATGGTTCTGATGAGTACTGTTGAGTGAGTATACAACGTTTCGACCAGTGTGCTCTGGTCATCCTGAGGAGTGAAAATTACAGTTTCCTCACTGCAAATCAACAGAGTAATACAAGTACAACATTCCCCCCACCTCGTCTTATCTAGGAAGTCATGGAAGTTCTAGCTTTTCGATATGCTAAAACATTTATCGTTCACATAAAAGAAACCGTAAACTCTTAAGTAAGGATAAAAATAATTCAATTTGGACTGCTAGCAACATGCCTTTGAGTAAACAGCACAATAGTCAACCATGATACTTAATAACGATATTGGAATTGAACATGTATCCCACTGCAAAGTCATTTGTGGTGTGTAATCTCCCTTAGACCAGCTTGTGGTGGGGAATGGTAATGATTCATGATGAGAATGGGATTAATTTACCATTTCGCTGGGTTGGTTTATGTTTTGCTGTAGTGTAAGCTCTACCTGTTCATGATGACTAATCGTAAACGCAAGTAGTGCATTGGACAAAAATGTATGCAAGCCAAATATTGTAGTACTCGTATTCCTACTCCGGTACTTTATTCTGTACTTGTACTCGTGAACATGTTCTCCTACTTTGAAAAAATTTCCCTGTATTCGTTCTCTTATCAAAGTACATTTACTTTTACATGTTCTCTTGGATTTACTTGTACTCAAGTGCGTAGTCAGCGCCTTCAATGAAGGCGTGTTATGCGCCCAGTTGATTCAGGTCATTAGCTCACATAGCGGTTCATGGTATAAATAACAATGTCATCATAACCCAATAGCCCTGTGTAGGAAAAAAAACAAACTTCCCAAAACCAGTATGTTTTGGCCACTTGTGTACACACTTTCTGCAAAAAAATAGTGGCCATTAGCCAAAACAGTGTGCACATTGTTCATTCTACTTGCCAGAGTGGTACAATCACAGTCATTCTCTTACTTTTTGCTTGTACATTATTGTAATACTTGTTCTCCAGTACTTTTTTCTGCACTCACATTCATACTCATAAAAATGTACTCGTACTCCAAAGAAAAAATGTCCCTGTACTCTTACCGGTACTCATGGAAAAGTACTCAACTACAACACTTATGCCAGCTGTATGAAATGTGAAGGTTGTGCATCAGTTGTGAAAGGTCTAGATACAGTGTGGAGTAATTTGATGTATTACAGAAATCTTTGATTCGGTTAGTATCATTCCCAACAAACAGCAACTGGTTCTGATGAATGTTATGAAATCACAATGGATATTACAAACAAACTTTGTCTTACATGCAAAAATCACACCCAACGTAATCTGCATGTAGTTCTCCCCATGTTTTTAAACTCTCAAAAATTTATGATATCAGCTACACCTTATGTGGTACATCATATTGTAATGTGTTGCATATTTTGGGGGACATTCATGCTGATTCTATGACTTGCTACATTTACAATTTGAGCATTGTTAGATGTTAGCCTGTGAGCTGTTGATTAACTTCATGTGGTATTTCTCCTCTCCCTTGGGTATTCCTGGCTTCCTTGCATGATGGAAATCAACTTAATCTTCGATGTTGCTGTTACCCTGTGCGTGGATTTTCTTCAACTTCATCACTCCTGATCCTGTCCAATATTCAAATATTGTATTTACATGAAATACAAACATGGAATCTTTGTGTTGAATGTTTCATGTACATGTACTGGTATGCCATAATTACCATTCACACTTGTGCTGCAATTTACCATGTACACTAATATCTGTACATGATCATGCTTATTCAATGACTGTGGATTGGCATACTTTGTACCGCTATACAGCGGCCATCACGTTTTGACCAACCACCTCAAAATATGGGAGGGCGTGGTCAGGCAGGGCCAGGAGGAATGGGAGGGCCTCAGCAGGGTGGTGGCTCTTATGCTGGGGGTTCAGCTGGTGGACCTCGCCCTTTAGAAGAGATACGAACTAGGCCTCCACCATCCATGGACCGCCGTGATATGGATCGACGTGATCGTCATGAGGATTACATGCCCAAGCGCCCCCGTCGTTACTAGTTCACTGCATTCTGGTTAGTAAGAGATTACTTGTTGTGATACATGTACATGTGTCACTCAAAAATTGCCGATTACCCAGAAGTAGATTGCTTTGCATGAGTGTGTTGGTTTTCCTGTTAACATTCAACCATGAACAGACATGTTTAAGAAAATGATTATGATTTAAGCATTGAAATAAGCATCAATAAATATTGTAGATGTTGATTGGTTTGATTTAAATAATAGTTGTAGGGTCAGTTTTGTTAACTGCATAATTCGTGCTGTTTTATAAATCTATGCCAACCAAAACTTTGCTTTAGTGTTTCTTTTTGCGTTTTTCGTTTTGGTTTTTTTTATGTTTGTTAGCCATAGTGAACTTTGAGAAGAAAATCAAGACGACAAACATTGTGCATGTACTGTAGGTTTTGAATGACTTTAGTCATGTCTTCTTTGGATAGATAATATGTAATGTTTTATTGGCTATGTACAGAGCAAACCATGATTTGAACTTTTTAGATTTTCTTAGATTGCTGTAGGTGTGTTGTTTTTTAAAAGTTCCAAGATTGACAGCCGTACATATGTAAGCAGACGTCAGTTTAGTTTAAATTGGGGCATCCGTAGGTAACGATTTTTGTGTTCTTAATCCAGTTCCGTTAAGACTTTGACAAGTTGAGAGTGTAAGTGATATAGTGTATTGGGCCAAGTGATGTTACATACACATAAAAGTAGCTGAAGCTGTTGCCTTTGTTTCTTTGAAAGTAATTTAGCAGTGAACTTAGATAAGCTGGTGTTAATTTTTTTTTCCTTTTTACATAAACATACCTGTGTTTTTGGAAAGTGGCTATTGTAAGAATCATACTTTTTCTTTCTTTTTCCATCAAACAACCCCTCAATATAATAAGAAAATATCAAATGAGTGTATTTCAGTCACTTCTAGTAGATCTAACTGTGGGTACTAAGCACATACCCTAGTCAGGACTGATGGTGCACTAGATTTTTGAAAAAGTTTTCTGGTTCAGAATCTGTACCTTTGTTTGTGTGCCTCGTCACTAAATTTTCAACTGTCACTTCAAATTATTGGAAACATCTTTTAACCAGTCATAAATATACTATATACATGCATGAAGATTACATCTTAACGTCTACATTCGATTTCATCAGGACATTAAGCTTTTAATCGGAATTTTGAACATTGTGCCTCTGCTTTCATACTTACATGTATCTCCAGATGTCAACTGTGTAGTGTTGTGTTTTCAGATCATTGTCCAGTTTAGCGGTAGTATAATTGCAGGCCTTTTAAAATGTAAGATTGTGCACAGATGTCATGTAAGCTTTTCTGGAATACATCTTGCTGCAACACTAAAGAAAAAATGTTGGAGTCCTCTTGCTTCTGTGAAAACTGCCATTCAAAACATGAAATTACCCATTTACAACTAAACTTCGGCAGAGGTATCCATTGTGTGTTTAATGAAAAAATGTAATACCTCAACCGGTTACGATGTTTCAGCTGAATATGCATAGCATGTCGTTAAAGCAAAAAATGTCTCATACTGATCCTGTTCCGTTCAAAGATCATTTAAGATTAACAAGATACCGAAGCCTAGAATGAAGAAATGTGTGTGTTAATACATTATCAGTGTAAATTACATTTTCTTGTGATTTAATTCATCACAAAAAATTACTGTGAGGTTGCAGACTTTTTTTCCCTCAAAACTACTTGAAACTTTTCCCAATGAATATCCGGATGGAAGATCCTTGGAAAATGCAATTCATTAAATATCACAACTGTTAAAGAGTGTAACAAAAAAGCTGTTTTGCTTTTGGAGGAGTCTATATTAACAGTAACAGGAAAATCATCCAACCCGCCTTCGGTAAACCTAAGCCCACCTAAACACATCAGTAACTGACAAAATAGATATTGGTAGTTGTAAGACTAGAATTTGGATGGGTTAGAACTTGAAACATCTTTATGAAAAAGGAGTTTACCTGATGCGAATATATGACTATCACCCCTTAAGATAATGGTATGGTCAAAACCAAGCAGTACCGTGCAACATGGCTGCTCCTTTTCAAGCTCCATGGCAAAGCTTGTTTCTTAAACTAAATGTGCAATTTCCAGACATTTACCCTTCTGGTTTCCAATCATAGTAACCTTTTTGCCCAGTATTTAGCGGTAGTTACCACTTTCTGTTGATTTGTGAAGTGTTTATTTTGTGCATTGATGGCATGCGGATGGTTTTGACATACATGTGACATGAACTATGAACGTGTGGTTGTGTGTATGTGTACATGTAGGTGCGCTGTGACTGCTGTCACCTTACTGGCTGAGAAAGTGTTATTTGACAGATTCATAGCATTTCATTGTTGAAGGAAGAGACAAAAAGTTGGAAGTGCGTGTATACTTGCCGACCACAACTCGAAGCCAGGAAAAAAATGCACTTTTCAAGGGCCATTTGCAGAGCGACCTTGCTTGTGCATTATCTAGGCACTCCGGACTGTCATGTGGCCCGTGGATTTTTTTGCAAGAAAAGTAATGTGAGTGTTGCAATGGAACGGTGTTTTTCTTGATTTTTCTCATAACAGTTAACTCAAAAAAAAACCAAGGCCATAGAATGATATGCAAAGTAAATAACAAATCCCCATATTGGCCAATTTTGAAAAATTGCAGCAAAAGCAAATGTTGTGTACTACCTTTAATATCTTCATAACGTAAATTTTGATTCAAACACCAAATTTTTCAGTAGCAACGTTTTCATGTATTTTCACGAAGGCATGGAAACATTGGGGATACAAGTACTGGTAATGAGTTTGGTTCTAAAAAACTTAACTACTTTTGGGATCTGCCCATATACCATAAGTTGATATTTCAGATATGATCTTCTGATCGCCTACATGTACATGTATCAAATGAGGCATATTTATTCACGCATTTCATTAGATGAATTAAGTAGTTACATGTGGCTGTTTGCAACCTTTTTACAATGCTTCCATGTCCATAACAACTTACGTGTATTTGGAGGAACATTTTCTACATTATGGAACTTACTGAATCTCTGTGCTGTAACACCATGTAGTCCCATAATGTAGGAAATGTTCCTCCCAATACAGACTGAGCATTGCTTTTTTATTATACTGTCACGATATGACTGGTTGATTGAAAACTTGTTACTTCTACATATTCCCATGAATTTAATTCATTTGCGATGTTTAGTGGGCAAAAGGAGTATTGAGGAATCGGATATACACATGCAGCACATGTACGTGTATGGCATTTTCACCACAACAAAGAGTTTGAATTGGGTAATTCTGAATTATATTCACCTCTTCGTAGAAACAAAAACACAAATTACAGATATGCTTTGTGTATGTGTGTTCTGTGGATTGATCTGTATTGTAGGATAGGTAGGATTGATCTGTATTGTAGTATTTCCTCACAGTTTACCATGTGTTTGCTAGTTAATGTAATGGTTTCAGAAAAGTGAATGTCAAGTGACATGGTCTTGGCTAGTATGGCAAGTAAAACACCATGGCATTTTTTTTTCAGTTGGTCGTTCCTTTTTCTGTTAAATGAAGTACATGCATCATTCATCGTGGTTTACAACTTTTTTTAGCTGACAGGCGAATCTTGATGCATCATTTCCTAGGTACATTGCAGATTTAGAATGTGTCTGCTACTGCTTTTGAAATCGAGGTCTGCATCAGAAATCTTTATATAACAGGTTTTTGCCCTTACCCAACATAAATATTAATAAACACTGTGTGCTCAGTGCTTGCCCAAGAGCTTGCGCAAAAAAGGAGTAAGCAGGAGGTCGTGGGTTTGAGTCCCACCCAAATAAGCTTGGGAATTTTTTTCACAAGCTCTTGAACAAGCACTGAGCATACAATGTTTATTAATATTTACGTTGGGTAAGGGCAAAACCTGGTATATAAATTAACATTTCCCCAATGCAAAAATGCATCTTAAAAATCAGAAATCTTGCTTCAGCCATGTCAAAGTCAATACTAACAAAATTTCAATTTACCAGCAATATAACAATAACATGACATTTGGAGCCACCTTTGAATTTGGCACAGTGCAACATGACAGATGAAGTCATATTACACATCAGTTGTAGGACACCATGCCAAACTATGCCGCAGCCTTGATGAATCAAGCTGAATTCCGACTTCGGTTGTGTAGCTTTGATTGCACATTCATTGGCACAAATTCAAGGATAGGATTTGCTTACAATTCCAGGAGAGCAACAAGCACTGTGTGAAACATATTTTGTAGTTTAAAATTGAGAAACACGTGGCCTTTGTCTTTCTGATAGTTGTAAAAAATGTTCTCTCTAAAAATTACAACATTTCGTCGCTGTTTCCATCTCTTGTGTTCCTCTCTTCGCAGTTTTATCAATTAGGTCCAAATTAAAATGAAATTTGTCTGTGATTTTAAAATCATTATCTGAAACCATTTTTACACTTGGCCACTCTCAAGTGAATTTTATTTGGCAGCAGAGGTGTGACATTCTGATGCAGGCCTGTATGAATGATAGTATGGTGATGAATAGTGAAAGCATAAAGCCGTTACACATCTAACAACCACTAGTATTCTGTTCAAACCCTACTGGTGGTCAGAGCTTTAATAGTTTGTGATAGTTCAGCAGTGATTGTATCACTTAAAAAATGTTTGTTAATGTCTCGTGGTATTTGAAAATAAATGTAACTGAATCCTCATGATCACTGAATTGCATTGTTTTGTTTTTAGATGAGGGCAAATATTACTTTTCCCTTAAAGCAACTGATGCTTTCTGTTGGTTTTAAGTTCAGTCCAGTGACAGCACTTTTTTGAACATAGTTATGGACAGATCATGTGCTGTTGGACATGTAAACCACTAACTTGTTATATGGTTACTTGGCCACTGCACTAATTCCCCCCTTCCCCCACCCCACACACACCTGGCTGAGGCTCAGCCTGTTTGAATTCCAGGGCTTTTTGTACCCATGGACTTGTACTTGGTGATGAACCAGAATTCTAGAACATGTACATTGTGTAACTTTCCACACAGCCACAAGTACAATGGATTACTTTAAACAGTGATATTTCAACATGATTTGATAGACATCCAATGTTCACTTTTTTGAAAGTTATTTCTTACTTATGGTGTTTGTTCACTAGAAAACTTCCGCAAGGGGATTTAACCACTTCATGCCGGGACATTTTTCAATGTTGATGATGCTGAGCCGGCCTGACTATCATTTTTTCTGTTTTCAAAATACTTCAAAAAGTCATCATTTCATTTAACGGTCGTTTATAGCCGCACAAAGTAATCTTTGGGCACT